TTATATAATAATGTGATTTTGTCGGCATATATCATAAAAGTTTAAAATATAAATAACTATTGAGGACATCAACCTGACTAGAATGAGTACAAAAGAAATAAATTGCACTGTGTTGGTTCTGCGTATTGTGCCTTTTGCAAATAATTTAAAAATTACTAATCAGATACACTTCAATTGTGGGGCATCTCTGTAGCGTCCACAACAAATCATTTTCACGAACTTAATATAATACATTTTATTAAGTTTGGAAAAGCAGTAAAGGGGTGAAGGTTTATTTAACATTTTTTAATCACACCAACGTTTCGTTTAATCTCATAGGGATTTTTCAAGATAGATTTACATATTAATAATTGAACGTTACAGATTACAACGGATCTTCATATTTTTTGAGGTGTCACAGTAATATACATTTTTTTTATTGTAAATAATTTTAATATAATAAATAAGTAACAAATGAAGTTACAATTTACAAAAAAATGTCGACTTCACACTTCAAGTGTTACTAACGTTATTTATTATTTTAATTTATTTACAAAAAAAAAGTGAACATCTTAAGAATAATTTAAAAGAATAGGCGAAACAGTTGTATGATTAAATAATACCAAATAACCCTCTAAACTGCTTTTTCAATCTTGTTGCATCACCCTCAAATGAAGGATATACTACTTCTTCCCTCTTACATTTACAAGTGTATTTTTAAAAATCCCTAAAATATCCTGTTTCACCATTATTTTTTTTTAATAAGAAATAGATATTATGAAATTACTTTTAATAACTCGACTCCAAAATTATTTATAACATCTACCATGATGTCCTGGGGTAAGTCAGGTGGTAGATATAGATTTCGCTGTCCCGACGAAAACGCACTTATACAAATTAATAATACACATAAAAATGTATAATTGCACATCACAAAACTATATTTTTTTTAGTGTAATACCTCCGGAATGTTTACTTTTATACTGTGGAAGCGCACCGCAAAAATTGCTTTTTATAGTTGCATAAGTTAGATAACGAGTGTAAATGAATTCTGCAAGTGCTGTCTAATGTGAGAGAGGCTGGAAAACGCAGACACACTAAAGAACAAATCCCTCGGTGTAATTAACTGATGTCATTGTTATAACGTTTATCAAGTACGCTCAGAAATAGGAATAGAGAGTTTTAAAACAAACGCCCTGTACAGTTATATCCAACAACAACTTCTAATTCATATAGAAATAGTTTTATTTATTTTGTATCTCTTTAAAAAAAGTATAAAATTCAATTAAACGATTTTTTTGAAATATAAACATAATTAATTAAATTTCTTGCCACTTAATGTATAAGAAGTACTTTTTTGATCTAATTACTTTAATTGAACATTTCAATTAACCAAACGAGGTACATAATACATCAACTGCAGTATAGGGATTATCGTGACCTACCCCACTGCATTTTATCTTCAAACTGTTTGTTTTTCTGCCCTAATTCATTTTAGCGCGCTTACTTGCGCATGCAAAGGAAAATTATTTGCTATTGATGCTACTCATGTGGAGAAACTATTGGAATACGGGCTGTATGTTCATTCAAACATAATTTATTCGTTTTTTTATTAAAAAAGTTTAAATACTTAATTTTTATTTAATAAATTAACGATCCAATTTCAAATTTGTGGATATTTTTAAATTAATGTAAAATTTATGCAACCCATTTATTACTTGTGTAGTGTGAAGCATACTATACGGTCCATATTTTAGATATTAAATGCAGCAATTTTTAATTTTTCCAACCATTTTTATTTTCGAATCAGCTTTAATATTTATAAATCTATACATATAATCATATACGTCTTATAGGCAATTTTATTTAAATATACCCATTTACAACATAAACTGTAAAGAGAAAAGTAAAAGTATTTTATTATTTATCTAGTTTTTGTTTATTTTATTAATTTTTACTAAGGTTCAAGTAATTTGCAATAATAAATTTATTTCCATCTTATGATAGGTGCGTTGATATTAGCAAATTGATGCTGAGTAGTCTGGTGAGAACAAAACGCAAACTAACATTTGAATTTACCGCCTAGCAACAGCAGTCGTTTGTGCTGCATGCGCAAGATCAGTAAGATGGCGAGTGTCTTGGCTGTAGACCGCTGTCAGTTTTAAATCTGCAAAAATCAATTTGTATAAATGGCTTAACTAGAGGATATTGTAATTACTGTAAATTGTAAATAGTTTCTTGTATAGTTAGTGGTAATATTTTGTGTTTCGAATCTCTGCATATTGTGTAAATTGTGATCGATTATTGTGTTTATGTGCTTGTGCTGAAAATCTATACAAAGCCGACGCCGACGAACATAAAGTTGAATAATTGAGAAAATACTAATTGTTGATGCACTAGACTCCGCCAAAATAAGCCCAGGTGAGTCATTTTGGGATGTCGTTAGTATTTTAAATCGTTTTGTGTTGAGGCACCAGTAATTTCTTTGTTTGAACCAACTGTCAAACATCCAGAAGCCATTTGTTTTCATACCGGGAATCTGAAATGTCATCCTAATAAACAACTGACAGAAATTAATATATTTTTCTCAAAAGAAAAGTATAATTTTTTTATCTTATTTGTGGATATTGTTTCAAAAAACTTCAATGTTTATAAACCTAGAGCATAAGTGATTTTGTCATTTTGTGTTAGGCTTTTATTTACCTCTTATACAAACACAAAAAGTCTGTATAAAAAAAACATACATGTAACTATCACAGTTTGGTTAATTTAAGCTTTATGTTAACTTTTATTAATTCAATTGGAAGTTCGGATATAATAATAATTTTACCGATTTTGCTCTTATAAAAAATAATTGTGGTTATGCCAAAGTTACTAAATGATAAGTAAATGGTTTAAAGAGCAATTTTAAATAGTGAGTTTAAACGTTTTTATTTCGTTTTCCAGCACAAATGAAGTGGTTAGGGGATGGTGGAGGCGATGTTTCATTAAGAAGTGACATGGATCGCAGTCCTCAAAGATCTCAAGATGATGCTTCAGTTGGTTATGTTTTTCAAAGGCCTCCTGATCCGGAATTTTCAACATTTAGCCAAAAACAACCACGTTGGGCTTTAGGCGACGACAGCATTATAGATGTTAGTAATGTAAGTAAAAATCTCATTATTTAAGAAAGAAGTAGACAAAACATCAATTCTAACCTCAAACCATAGGGTAATTACTTTGTTTAAAAATTTATTTAATAGATGCTTAATATTATGCATATGCATTACAAGGGATATATTTGTTACAATACAAATAAAAATAATTGTAAGCTGTTGTTTAAAAAACTGAATTTGAGCTGGTACATAGATATTAATTTATTTTCTATAACTAATGAACTATTAATTCATTGCAGATTCATGACAAATGGAAATATCCATCAACAAATAAAGTGGCAACACCACCCAACAGTGTTTCTTACATGGGACCAGGCAGTGCCATGCCAGGCCTTTATGACATGTTACATAGCAAAAACATCCCTCCCGAACAACAACAACAGCAGTACATATATTATCCAAGTCAGATGCCTCGAGGGATGCCTGTGCCTCCCCAATATTTGCCTCAAACTTTGAGTCAGCATCTTCCCATGCAGCAGGGACAGGTAGGGTTTTTTAAATCTGTCTATATAGTTTTAATAAGTTTACAACTCTAAAGAAAAGAGTAAAATAAAGTGATAGTAATAACTAATTCATGTGTGAGGGATATTGCAGGGTTAATTTTTAAATATTTTACATTTTATGAGTAATGACAATCATCTTTGTGTTTTTGTTCATAATTGTCATATCTATTGGTTATAGTATTTGTGATAGAAATTTGATATCACACATTTAACGTAAAATTTATAAAAAAAATATTTCTGAAAAATATATAAAAATTAAAAAAATGTATTCATACGAAGTGTAAGACAAAATATTATTGTTAATTGGTACAATCAGTGCAGCGACAAGTTATATTTCCTATTTTACAGCTTTCATAATTTTAGTAATTACTTATGTTTCACTATTTCTATTGGACAATTACATTTTCTCCCAAAAATTATTTTAATCAGGGTCGTAGCCGGGCTGTAATCAAAAAAAGATTTAAAAAAATTAGCACAGGCTGAAAAACGAATTTTAACATTTAATCTTAATAATCGATCCTTTTTGCATGAGAAAAATCTATATCCCATCTAGGATTTTTTTAAATTTATCGCAAATTAATGTCTTACTATTTAGTAAAACAACTGCCCTGAACCTAACCGAAATCGATGTCACATTTAAAGTTGCTAGGTATATTCGTTATTACTTATTACTAGCACAAAAGTACTACTGTTTGTACAGCTTAGAAATTACGGGTAGAAATTTCGAAATCCCTAGCAAGTTCAGGCTAGCGGCTAGGGTAGGCTCAGCCAGCTAAATGCTTTTTTTATACTTTAAAATTTAACTAAGTCTTGTACTTTCTACAATTGAATGATTATAATATTAAATTGTAGTCCATAATAAGGAATATTGTGGGTAAATAATTGTAGCGGATTTTGATACTAGCTTAAGTTTTAGACAGGTAGATGACACCCTATGAAGTATAATATTTTAATCTGGCTTTATATTAGATGGCGCCATCTGCCCTTTTCAAAAATAAATATTAAAATTTAAATATGTATACATTTCATGAAGTTTCTTAATTCTTTCTAAATATTATTAGAAAATGAATAGTTGAATCCAAGTAAACACAAAATAGTTATCAGTTTCACAAGTTCTTTTTCCGATACATGGTATCACGTACATGAAATGAATTTACTTTTTGTATACCTCGAGTGGTTAACCCATTTGGTGGGTTATTTTCGTCATTTGGGTCTGTCGCTTTTGTCATTGCATTACTATGTTTGTACGTTTACGCAGGTAATTTTTCTGGTGTTACTGGAAGTGAAAGTGCACTTTACGATTAAACCGCGAACACACGTACCAAAACTTTTAATAACACTAAACAAAAATTAAAAGAAAAGCTAGTCTTATTTGCTCGTTGCTTTTGTGGTTCCCGTCTTAGGATGACTGGTAGGAGAGAGCTTCCATATAACTTTCTTATCAAACTTATTGTTAGGCGGATGAATAGTGTTGTTGATGGTGCAATTGCACTTTACAACAATTGGTATTGCAGTCACAACTATTTAGACAATCAGAAAATCACGATATATGTATGATGATCACGATCACGCAAATTTACGTATAAAGAAGTAATATGAGTAATGTACAGCGTCAGTCGTAAGACTTATCAAGTCGTCCGCTGCGCAGTAAAGTAGTGCGCATCCTATTTGTGCATAGACAAGGAGATTTTCTTGTTCGTTTTGTATTTGGCAACTGGCAACATCGAAATTGATGCGCAGTTGTTCATCGCACAGCGGACGATCGCATTTTCTATCCTTAATTAGTGTCTATGCTGTTTAAACGCATTTGCTTCGGATTGGGTTATCTATGTATTCGTTTTGTTCCTATTATCTAGTCGTCATGGTGCATATGTACAATGATGATACGGTTTATGAAAAGAAAAATATATGATGCACTATGGTTTTATAATATTATATTTACGTTTGGTGATGTTTAGGAGAGTGTTAGTAGCAACCTGAATGAAATGAATTATTTTGAAAAGCGAATATTGATCTGGAAAAGTTGCTTCCTGTGGCTATTTTTCCAATTAGATCGTAGCAATCGTCGACGACATTGTAGAATAAACCTACGTCCAAGATTGTAAATAATTTAAATTGATGTTCGTATCAAGGTTTTATCCCAAATTCGTCGATTCACGCAAATCAGATACAAAAATAAAACCAGATCCGCTCACGTTATTTGACGAGTTTTGCATCTGTTAATCTGTTATCTGCTACCTGAATTATAAAATCAGTTAATACTGAACAATTACTCATTCTATTCTTTAGATGTGCGTGCATGAAATTGTCGATAAAGTATTGTGTTTAATATCCAATTAAATTAAATATGCAGGACAAATGTAAATTCGTAAAGTGATGGTAATGAAATTGTGAACTACAAAGATGTAACGTCATTTATATTAGAATTCCTTAAATAATATGCGTTATTGTGTTAGTACTTCAATTGGTTTTGTTTGTATATATTGATTTTTACAAAAGAAGGTTTAAATTTAATGGTGGCAAACTAGGAATAATTAATTTGTCACATACATACAGGATGCCTCAGAAGGAATGCCAAATATTTAAGGAGATGGTAGTACTAATTATTCTGAGTAAAAAGTTCAGATAAACTGTATCCGGAACGTTTCGTTTTAAAGATGTGGGGTTTTAAATTAGAGATGAGCAGGGTAGGTAGGTACCCGATTTGGATCCCTGTATCCAGCGGATTCATTCGGATAATGATCCGGGTAATTCTGCTGGAAAAAACGAAAAAGTAAATATTAACAATCGTAATTTAGTATATAACAAAAAACCTACCTAGTGAAAATTGGTAATTAAGATTGAATTGGGATAGGTCGTCAGCCCTAGTTTCTATTATTCATTGATTGCTATACTGAATTATTTGTTATTTCGATATAGTTCATGTGTTTACTTTTTCTCGTGAACAAGAAAACATCAGTATGGCCGAACTGTTACAATTTTTGTGTTTCTGTCTCTTGCTGGTGTATCAGGTTTTGATTTGCGTATTTATTAGTATGATTTTATCATCTTGCAGACCTTTAGTGTTTACAAACATTATAGGCTCGTTTCAACCATTTCAGCTCAACCCTCAGTCAAAAAAGTATCAAAATTTCAGCTAATACCGTATAGCCGATTATCCAGATCTTCTGTAGAAATCTGAAATAATTCACTCAGAGTGATAGATTGGTATTACTAGGAAAATAAGATGGCGTTTCTGGTTTCGAAAGAAAAAATTAAAAAAAAATAATTTTTGTCTACTTATGTATATATATTTTTGCGTGCTCCTAAGATTATTGATCAAAATACAGAAATGGCATTTATTTGTGGGTGTGTGGCTCTCTCGACAGAAATCAATTTAAAAAAAATTGTTTGCTGTTTGATTTGCTTAGAGTTGGGACAGGCTACGTTAGTTTCTTTTTCACATCTAACTAAAAACACTAGAAAAGCATTTCCCTCCTCCGATTGATGGTCCCCTCATCTACACAATTAACATATTCAATTATCACCCTCACTCCCTGCACCTCCTCGTAACCGATCCCACGTCCACTTACAAACCACTTGCTCAGTATCCTACAAGACAATTTTTATCGCTACCTCCTCCCTCCTCTGACCAAAGATTCTTTCATTTAGATATTTACCGATTTTGTTTTTAACACTTTCATCTACTGAAATAATTCTAACACCGATGGTTTCCTTATAATAAATACAGAAAGGCAGTTTTAATTTTATTTTAATTAATTTTATCAATGTTATTTTCTTTTTGGTCACTTATTTCAGCTCACCAAATTAAAAAATGTGCATGTTGAATGGACACTGTATTATATATTTGTATTATAAAGTTATATGCTGTTAACTATGTCGAAAATAGCAGAGGTAAAAAGAACTAATTGTAATGCGCTTGTGAAATTTTGTTGTTTCATATATTTAATTGATCTCTAATGGTTACAAAAGCAAAGGGTGCAGCGAACTATAGGGGTACATTTTGAGAATAGGGTAAGCTTGCTCGAGTTTTGTTTTTTATTTATATAACACATTTTAAAATCATTTTTTTTTACAAAATAAATGCAAATAACTGTTAAAAAATAAATAAATTTTTATATATTTTTTTAATTTTCGCCGGTAACTTATTTCTTAGTGACGTAAATTTATAAAAAATAAAGCTTACGTAACGCCCATTGAATGTTAGACACATTTTTCGATTGTTTTACTTTCTGTCTTCGTATCGTGGCATTTTATTTCTCAATAAAAAAATATTGTTATTCAATAAGTAAATTATCTTGGATGATTTTAATGGTAACAATGAATATCTATACTTGTTAAAAGTGTTTATTTAAATTTAATGAATCTTTGGAAATTGGATAGTGTAAATAGACAAGTCAAGACAAGACAAGTGGTTGTCAAAAGTTATTTAATAGGATTTTCATTCAGTATCAGATTCGTCATCAATATCGATGTTTTTGTATGGGAGTCTACCTATAGTGATGATATTTTACAGGGACGAAATAACTCAGGGTAAAATAGCTGGGCCAAAGTATACGCGGGTATTTTCTGAGATAATCTTATCAAAATGTTGCAAAATTTTTGTTGAAATAATTACGTCCTAATGCTGATCGACCACCAACTTGAGCAGTGAAAACAAAATCATCTCAATTCATTTGACTGGGTTTGGAAAAAGTTAAAAAATTATTTGATAGCAATATAGTATGGTAAAGGATAGAAAATTGTTTATGGATGCATAAGAGGTTGCCTAACAAACTGTGACTGTAGTAAGCGAGGAATAAGTTGTTCAATGGTTTGTGAGGAATGCGACATTGAAGAAAACATATTAGCGATAATGAATTTGATACTGAAGGAAAATCCTAAAGTTTTAACAACCATCTGATTGATTTGTCAACTTAAACTATGCTATTTCCAAAAATACATCTAAAACATTACTTAAATTTGAATAAGTATCTAACGTA